GAATTGTCGTCAGACAATACCACTTCATCATCATGGCCACACATCAAAAAGGCAGACATCTGTCTTTTCTTTTGCAATGGGATCACACAGGGTTCTAAATCATGGAAAATTGTCCATTTCTCAACCAAATCTTGCAGTTTCCCCGTGTTATCACCAAAATGGATGCTGAATCATTCCAAACTTGCTTTTCAACTACATGCACAAATCTCACTCAAAGAATGTCTGCTGTCTTGAAAGGCCCACAAGCCAGATAAAGATATTTTGGGGATAGGTATCAGGGGCACTGTTGTGGATCACCCTATTAGAAATAGTGATCTTGGAAATTGGTTAGTGATAACAGAAGTTACCATGTGGGCATTTCTTGTGATACAAGGCATTCTACTTCCTGCTGGGCGACCCGTTCTCGAGTACATAGGCTTTATATGCAGAGCCGGGGAGCCCGGAACTGGGACAAAAGAGTTAAATGAAATGATGAATTTTTGAAGAATTTGAAAACGGAAAATCTTCAAAGGACCTGGCATCTTGTCTTGCTCAAGAAAAGTCCATCCGGCAGCAAGAGGTTAATATCCATAAGAGTTCCCAATCTCTTGTTTAAGGTCATCAAAAATCAGGCAGACTGTTCGAATCTGCATATAAGCAGATAACCATTTACTCCACCTAGACTTGCCAACAGTCAGTGATTGTATTTATTTTGAAAACTTGCAGTTGAGAGATTCTGTACAGATGTAGAAAGAGCTATTTTGTTCAGATATAAAACTGTTAGAAGCAGTATTCGGATTACATGTACATTATAGAAATATGAAGTAAATTTTGTACACCTTAAAAGCATTCAAGAGATGTATGTTACATGTATTATGCAAACCAGAAAGTAATTTGTACACCCCACAATTGGTCAGTTTTTGTTGAGTGATTGAAGAATGTTTTTTAGCATTATGTAAAAGTATTGTTGGATACTAAAGTTTCACAGATGTTATGAAATTGGAAGCTTCATCATTGTTCACTTTGGAAGCCCCAAATTTAGTCATTGGTTATATTTTTTTGAAAATTATTAATTCAGGTCCAGTCCAAAAAAAAAGCAGGGTGAACCATTTCTTGAAGCAGTTTTTCAGTCCAGGGATGTCGTGTATAACTGCTTATCGATAAGTTTATTTCACAATTTTATCAGCTTGACCTGGGTTATGACCAAAATTTTTCCCTCATCAACGATGAGGAAAAAACCGAAATGGCTAGGATGTAGGGAAAGTATTTTGTCAGAAATGATTTTTGAGCCAAAGTTTAGATTTGAACTTGTTTGCTTGTTTTAACACAGACATGGTGCTTCAGCAGATGCAAGAGCTATCTTTCCCTATAAACTCATGTCCGAGTGTCACTAGAAACACTTCTGTCCCTTCCATTTTATAACTTTTTGTGACCATGCCAACTTTTGTACTTAGCAGTCTTTTCACCAATGCCTGTCAGTTTCATTCCCCGGTAAAGAACTTAAGTAATGATTACAAACTTATGCATAATTAAGCTATGCTGAAAGTTGAATGTGTTGGTAATGAAAACGTTTGTTTTCTGCCAATTTTTATATATGTTACTCCAAATATGCAGATGTTTTGTATGAAGTCATATGCTTTGATACATTTTCCCGCAAAAAATTCTGACTTCTAAGTTTTTCATCAAGAGTGACTTCCTTATTAAGTGCAATATTCTTCCAGACGTAAGACAAATTGCATCATCCACGTTTACAAAGGTGTTTTGTATTCGTTGCTGTGTATGTGTTAGGATTTCAAAGAACTAGCATTTAGGTTGGTTTTAACACTGGACTATATTCCTGTATTCTTTGTGGTCACACATCCAAGTGCTTCATTCACAAAGTGTATGATACATGTCAAGCATATCAGGGACGACAGAAAAAAAAGAAGAAATTAAATGAGTACAATATGAAATGCAACGGCCTCCGTTCTGTAATTCATTGGCTTTGTGTCATGGTAATCAGATGAAATCTTGTAATCGTCATGTGATTTTGATTTTCCAAATTCCCTCACTTTCAATAAACTACCATTTTTTTATTTAAACTTGACCTGCTTATAGTCTCTCTGTTACCTAAATGTCATCACATTTAATAGTCACACTTATCATTCTGGAATATCTACAGATCATGAAACACAAATTATCTCAGTACAAAAATGTGAATAGATATACCAATTAGTGAATTACTGATGGAGGGAAAGCTCCAAATATGTAGCTTCATTTACATGTACATTTGAGTTTTCTAACACCAAAAACTGCCTACTGACCAAATGAACATTCTGAACAGTGGGCTAAAGTTAAACTAAAATACATGTAGATTAAAGAATAGATAAACATGAAGAAATGTCATTTGAAAGAAGTACTTGCCACTGAAGGAAGGAGTGTAAATATAATTCACACTACTGAAATTTTTCTCAGATTTCAGAAACTATAAATTTGAATTATATTTGTATGAATACCTTCAAAGATTGCTACCACTAAGTTACTTGGAATCCAATTAAGAACTGCATAATTGTTAGGCTTAATGACTGTAATATTCTATTAAATATCAGACCATATTCCTCTGAGACCTGTTCTATCCCCAACCTCCTGGCTGCTTACTCTCTGCACTCCTGCTTTTCTAGATTCATCAGGGAATAAACACAATTGATATATAAATATGATACAGGTGATGATGGGGTTTCTAAACATTAACAAATGTCATCTGCACATTGAGTAAGTGCTGCAAACTGAGACATAGATTACAATGTGCCTAATTTTTCACGAGAAAAAACCCAGCCAGAAATCAGCTATCAGTGACTCCTCATGACAAAGCTAAGCTATTTTCTGGAATCTCTACTGTTAAATACAAAACAAGAATTCAGACTGTCCAAATATCACATTATTCTGCTACTAAAATCTGTCTTTGTCAAGCTTTTTTTTTAATCTCGAGCCTTGTCTAAAATAGGTGTCCAGAGGTATGGCCATGTTGGCTTGTTCCCGCTTTAAGATTTTGAATGGTGGATGACCTGCACTTAGCCCTACATGTAGACAATAGTGTCAGATGCAGCCTCAGATTAGAAGTAAAACCTTCGCATTGATGCCTCAGAAGTACATGGTTTGGGTTATTTTATATTTTATTTAAGATACGCAGTAAACACAGTATTTAAAGTATTTATACAATTGTATAAAAATGCAGCCACATTGAAACAGAATCTCTCTTAATGGTTTAATCACAGTGCAGGAAAGTATAAGTCCATCCAGTGACCTTCAGTATCATTGTGCGTCCAATCTATACATATTGTATGTACAACTCACATGCAAATTAGGCAGCGACTTGAAATGGTAAGTCCACAGCCATGGAGCTATAGCTCCAAGGTCCAGCCGAGTAAGCCACTCAGAAGTAGCTGCAGCAAGATCCCATAGATACATTTATGTGTTAAACCACAGCCAACTGATTTGGATACAGCCTTGTGCTGCATATGTTCCAGTGATTGCTGAATATGAATTTTTTTCTCATTTCAAAACGGGCAATTTGAAGGTCTTTAAGAATTGATAAAATAGAAATATTTCACAATAGCCATTTTTCTGTGTGAAATCCTAATTGTTCACTTTCCCCTTTAGAAGTACACCTCATGAATCCACTTCCAGGCTCTATCACGTTATTTGACACATTTCTCAGCATTCAATGAGATACAAATACTGACTGCTTCGAGTGGTGTGGTAAAACTAGCCTCCAAAGGTGATCCATGGAACATTTCATTTTTCTAAGGCGAAGTTAAGGGAAAATAGAATGCTCCTGAATGCTCTCCTGAGAGACTAGTTTTACTTCACCATGAGATCAACAAGTCAGTATTTGTTTGACAATACCTCTCCCACAGATTCTGCTTGAGTTGAGCGATAACCAGCAATAGGTTATTTGATCTGTTTGAACCCAAATTTGTAGATAATTTATCAGTACTTTTCCAAACCACCTTTTTATGCAATGTCTGAACCAAGCTCTTTAGTATCAGCACTTTGGAATTCCCACAATGTGCATCATGTACACCAATACACATTTGCACTCAATGCTGGTAATTATGCATGTAATTCTCTGTCTGCTACGGGCATGGTTCTTTTGATCATGTAAAGCAAGATAGCAAAAAAAGCAAATGCCACGTGACTAGCTCTCAGCCAATCAAGATACAGAATCTGTTGGTGAGGTGTTATAATCACAAACATTCCTTAACAGTACACAAATTCTGTTTAACTTGAAAAGTAATTATTATACAAACCTGCTTCTATAAACTGGTATCTTGAAGAAAGCTCTATACCTGAAACAAGATTTTCCTTTATCATGGCCACCATGTAGCCTGTTTTATGTCTGGCCACCATACACCGGCCCTGTCACCAACGTATTGAAGTTCACTGTCAAGAACACATTAGTCTGGTCTCGTAATGTCCTAATGTAGTTGAGGGAGGCTTTTTGGTCTTGGTTCGTGATGCCTAGATCAGTGTACAGTTTGGACAGCCCACGGTTGTAGGAATCCTCTACGACTGCTCGAGCCTCAGCGTTTGCCTGGGACAGGATCAGCGCAGCTTGGGCAGTTGCATTCTGGGATATCTCTTCGGCTGCATTTTGAATCTGTGTCACCTGTTTCAAAGTCCAACATGAAATACTTCAGTCTAAAGTGGTTTATCTCATGCTTTGTATCATTTCATTTAAAACTCTCTTCTCGAATTGAATTCTTATTTCATGAAGCAGTTACACTTTCCCTTTTCAGAAAAGTGGCAGGTGTAACCACACATCAACTATGGCAGGAAAAGAAGGAATTTTGCCCTTGGCTCCAAAATGTTCCATAACCTTTTACTAAGCACTGAAATATGCTTGAATTGAAATTAATTTAGGGCCGATGACGACTGGAAACGCAAATGAAAATTTAAATAAACTCTGGTATATGGACAGTACATGCATGTGGAAACGGCCATGTAGCCATGGGTCCAGTGCTTTAGAATGGCACCTAGCACTAGTATAACAGAGTTACACACAATATTTGGCCACAAATGAATGATAGCTGGACTTCACTTGGAAATCCAACTTCCTGTGAGAATATAACCCAAAACTTGAAATATTGAAGAGAAAGACCATACATTTGACATAATGTGCAGATGATCAGGCCTCAAAATAGTACTAGCCTGGTGTACAAATTCTAGCGAAAAATGGTCTGGGCTACCTAATCTTGGTTCTTTGGTTGCCTGGTGGGCTTGTGAAAAATTCATAATAAGCCTACCTGTTAAAACTTAGATCAAAATATATAACACTTTTCATGATAATAAATACAAGATCGGAAAAACTGAGTCGTTGTGGATGTGTTTTAACTTGTGTTTTTGAAACGTGATGCTCGCGGGATAGGGCGATAAGCGGCCGTGAATGCCACGGACAGCATAGCATAGCACACACGGCATGATACCGCATGTGCACACTATTCTCGTTCACTGTTTAGGCCTTTTCTGCTTCTGACTACATGCCTCTCAAAAATAGTATCGGTAGGTCTGAATTTTGGTTAGTCAATTTTTTGTACTGATGTAATAGCCTGAATGGGGATGAAAGCTTTCAAATATTGTCCCAAACAGTGATAAAAACATGTCTTGATATATGTAAAATTTCTGAAGTCGACAGATCACAAGAATTATGGACAAATCACACAATGTTAGTCAGGTAATCACGACGGCAAACTGGACAGCAATGTTCGTGTATCGCGTGGTAAGCGTACATGATGCATCCAGACGGGCAGGCGATAAACTGCGTACCGTGGCAGGAACTTGTGAGCACAGAAAATAAATAAACAAGAGACCAAGTTCTGCGAATTAACTTGAAGAAATCCTCTTGCAACATTGATGTTTTTCGACCTGCACCTGTATGGCTGCATGCGTCTACGACACCGATGTAGTTATAATTGACTTGTGACTGGGACGTAAAGACTGGTTAGCACATTTCCATCACGTGTTCTTTTGCATGGGCGCAGCGTGGTGGGAACCAGCGCAGCTTTGCCTTCATGCATTGAGCTTTGCGCATTTGTTTTCACCACCGCGACCGAAACGCGAGTGGAACTTGTGAAAATGACGGAAGTTTCTTTTCAAAAATTGCAAATGTAAGTAGGAAAACATATAAAAACAAGTGTTTTAACATAAGAAGGGGTTGTTGAAAGGTGTTTTGTGAAGACAGAAAAGACAATGGCATTGATTTTTAAATTTTTTTTTAATTTTGTAAATTTGTTTTTCCAACTTGCCGATAAAAATTTTAGGGTCGCGCTGAAAAATTTAGGGGTGGTCGGGAAAGTTTTTTGGGGGGCCTTATCAATTTTCAGACCTTAACTGACCACAGCTAACTGCACTGGGCATTGCAGGAGTCCTTGAAAGCATTTGATATGAAGCCTACACAAAGCCGCGTGCAAACAGCACCCTCTTCTGATTGGAAAAAGTTTTCACTTGTTCACCGTGCACGTGTGGAAGTCAGAAAGTAAGCAAAAGGTGGTAATTTTTGCCAAACGTAAGCAACCCAAATGAGAGAAAAGACAGAGCAAAGAGATGATTTTGATCCCAACTCCGTGACCAGTGACTCCAGTGACTTTTAACTAACATACATGCCTCTTTATTTACTTATACCATCAGCCTTTTATTTCTGAAATGTCAAATTCTTTTGTGGTAAGTTGATAACAAATTTTGGGTTTTTAAAATTTTTTTATATACAAGCTAGTCAAACTCAAAACGGGCTGGTAAAATATCCAGTTAACTAGCCCAGTGGGCTAACCAGGAAAAAAGTTAGCGCAAGGCCTGATGATGTATTTAAAACCTTTTTTTGGTATGAAGTGCAAGTGTTGGCCACAAACCCTCATGCTAACACAGACCGCGTTCCTACTTGATCCACCGACTGAGGGATCTGATCCATCTTTTGCCAAATTGCCGGATCAGATCCTTCAATTGGTGGATCAGATCCGGCAATTGGCGGATCACGATCAGATGGGAATGCAAAAGGTGGATCTGATCTGGCAATATGACCTGTCAACATCCGTCCGTGCATGGAATGGCACAAAACTTTTGCGGTCTGATGAACAAAAAAATATGTTTTGCACAGCATGCACAATAAACAACTGCCCAACTACGGGCTAGCAAAATGTGTCACCATACCGCTACATGCGCAATGCATGCATGCCGCGATGTGTACCTTGCCCTTTCACAATTTTCGTTGCGCATTCATCCGTTTCTTAACCTTTTTCATTTGTGTAATTTCACTTACTTTCCATCAAAAACTAATTCCTTGTTAGTGTATAGCCCGCAGCTTGTGACAGAGTATCAAAAACAGTAGCAAAGTTTGAAGAGACAATGTACTAGGCTGAACATTTGGTCTGATTCAAGGTCGTCATGTCAGTAGAACACCGCACCCAAAACAGGGTCTCGACATTTCCGTGCGAAAAGGTGGATCAAGCGTAAGTGGGAACGCAACTTGTGGTTTCGTTGCGGTAAAATAACGATCACACCAAAATGCCAGATCAAGATCCACCTTTTCCCAATTCAAGTTGGAACGCTCTGATATTGGCAAGTCAGTTCATCACATAATCTGAACAGGCCAGGGGCCAGGTGAATTGGCAACTAAACTCACTACATCTATACCAAATGACCACTAGACTGGGATCCCCTTATGTTCATTACACTAGCGTTGTATTGCACATATCTTGTCTTGTGTACTGTATCACTAATCTCATTGCTGCTATAAAAAATGAATCCAAAAAGTCTAACTCTTATATCCTTATGAGTGCAAGATGTCCCTCACACAAACTGCTACATGCATGCATGTGAAATTTCTCTATCTCACATCCTGCAAGAAAGATCGTGGTGATGAAAAAGCTAAACTGCGGAGACTCAACTTAATTTTGGCTGATTGGCACAAGTTAATTCTGCAACACGATCACACGCCCAATCTATGACCACATGTCCCATAAATATCTCTTACGAGAGACTTGGCTCACCATTTCTTCGGTACGTATTCTAACAAGCTGAGCTAGCTGGATGTACTCCTCACGAAAGCCATCTTCCAACTGTGTCAGCGTCTGCAAGTTGCGGCTGATGACATCATCAGGGATGTCCACAAACCCAAGCTGGAAGTAGCGCACATCCGCAAAGAATCCCTTGTCTTCCTTGGTGCAATCTTCAACTTTTTTACATCCAACTTCACAACCTGTTGGAGCAAAATTAAGCAGGGTACATGAACATGTAACTTTGGAACACTTTTATAGGTATTTAAAAAACTTTTCAAAATAACTGAACGAAGAGTGCATGTTACAAATAATAGGTCGACTCCACAGAGCCAGTTTGTGCAGGTTTCATCTATCATTTGATTATTCTTTTGTGCTTAGCAGATATGGTAGTCTTGGAGGAGTTTGGGTGTCTAAAATGCACCACACTTGCACTTTATCCTAAATTCCTTTGTTTATTTACTGCACACTGACAAGTATGTGAAGGACTGTCTGGTGGCCCCTCTAGCCTGACAGACAAAATCTCTTGATGCCTGAGTATTTCAGCCAGGCCTGCAGCCTTGTAAAAAGAGCCCAGATTGTGCAGTGTTATATAACTTCCTTTTGTTCATGAACCTGGCTCAGTGCACTGCTGACCTCTTTTCAATAGGGGCCAGATTAGCGTGCAGTGGTGCTATGTGGCTCATCGCTGCGGTGGTGGAGCGCTTTTGTCCCAGGTGGTAATCCGCTCGCTCTAAATGCCCCAAACTGTGGTATACTGTTTCAAACAGGGCTGGATTATCTCCACTTTTGAAAGTAAAAAAATGTGGGTAATGCCCAGCAACCTGGTCTTTTGTTTCGAGTACGGTCTTTTGTTTCAAGTACGGTCCTTTGTTACAAGGCCCTGTTCCCTTTGTCCGAGTTCGGAGACCCCGGCCACACATATAAATCATTCACGTCCGGATCCAGAATCCCCGACAGGAAGTGGTTAACGCACAAAAAAAATCACAAATAAAATTTAAGACTTCTCAATTTTGTAAAAACAAAGTTTTAAGGACTTCCATGTAAGTACTTGAAAAGTATTTGGCCAAGTACTTTTCCCGTAATTTGCTATTTAATTTTTTTTCTATTAAACAGTGTTAGTACGCACAGTGGTCATCATATTATTTTGTATTAAACCTTTCCTTTATACGTTTACCTTCCAATGCCCATGTCCTTTAGCTTTGTTCCCTCCTAACCAGTTCAATATTTGGAAGATAACTTGGTACTTACAAGTATTTGACCACAACACTGTAAACTCCTTTTACATTATTGACATGTAATTAACAGAATAAAAGCAAATTATACCATGAGTACAACCACACCAATTACTTTAGACAAGTCTTTAATCTGACAAAAATATCGCCGACTTGAAATGCTTTGGAACAAAGATAAATTGGCTACCAACCTTCTGGTGAGTTCTGACATCCAGGTTTACAACAGTTTCCTCCCAGACGTTTCTTAACTGCATTAAACATAGTCTTCTCAATCTCAGCTCTCTTCTCACCAAAGTCCCGCGTACTGAAGTCCACCGTGGCTCCCTTCAGTTCATCAATGGCATTGTTACGAAGGATATCCTCATACTGAATGTCATACGTATCATGAAGATCCTGCAAATCTTCTTCCCGCAAGAAATACTGGAAAGTGCAGTCTAACCTGACCTGCAAAGGAAACACGTATCGTTTCTGTTGACAACAAAAGCAATAATCTTTTGTCCATATTCTCATCTGCTCTTCAATAATTCAAGTCCGTAATCTATTTCTATATAACATTTTAAAATTACTTTACTGCAAGAGAAAATTTTTAGCGACACTGTTAATGAATGATCTTTGTTATTTGAATGAGACTGCGTCTGAAAGTTCTGGCTGTGGCTAGCTTTCTCATGCACGTCTAATGGAAGTGGTTGCAGCCACTCACCAGTACACTCAACTGGAACATGTTATAGCTATCTCTAGCCACAACATTCCCAGACAATAAAACATCCCACATTACACAAGCGACATTAACAGGGTTGCACTGAGTGTGTTACCCTACACAAACGGTAAGGGGTATGACCCATAGTAAGCAAGAGCTTCACCCATTGTGCCAGGAGCCCTTGTATCACACGGTTATTTCAAGATGGCAGACAGGTGCATGTACGTGTACATGTTTTCCATACAGATGATGTAATCCAAGAATGGTACACCTTTATTATTCTCCTGCACCCGCAAGTATCAAGAGCAACACATGCAAATGCAGCCCATAAGTGCATCGGTTTTCAAAGACAACAGAGTCTGTCATTGGACAAATAAAGAAACTTGTCATTCAGTACTTGGGACCAATCAGATAAGTATATGACAGTATTTGCATTTGACGAAAAATGCAGTTTCGTCTGTCCTCAAGCCATAACAGCATCTGAAAATGTAGGAAAATTCACATTAATTTCTCTGTTTTGCTGTTTCTGTCTGATATGGCAACATCAGGCTAGTATATATTCCCCAGGGAGCTGAGATGGTCTCAGAAATGATTGCCTGTTGTGAGCCAATGTGCATGGATTATAACATATCCATGCCTTTGAATGACAGATAGTGTTGGATACTAGGCACCTTATAAATGCATTGCTACAATGGTATTGGTGCGTAGGGTGAATGAAAAACTGACTTGATGTTTAAGTTTCAGTTAATAACACAATCAATTCTACTTTCTCTAGATGTACAGACTTTAACTCAAATTGTGCTTTATTCTCCAACAGTTGCAGGATTTGGGGCCCCTAGGGTTTCCATAACAGTTTTTAAACCTGACAGTTTACTAAAACTACCTCTTCAACATGGATTTCCTTTGTGATTAAACACAGAACCACATGAAGTTTCCTCTTAAATTTCTTTCAAAAGAACTGGAAGAACCACACAGCAAACTGCACTTGTCACATTTCTACTCACTACAACCTCAGTCAACCTCACCTCTAATCTATCACTGGTGAAAACAGCAACAGACTCCAAGTCAACAAAGTGGGCATCAGCTTTGAAGTTCTTGAATTCATAATCTATGCCAATTAAATAGTAGCCACTTGTATAGACTTTGTCAGTGTTCACCGATCCAGTTGATTTCCTTCGAACAAAACCAAACTGTATAAAACAACAAAACACACCCACAAATTAAAATGCAGCACTGGAATGTTACCTGCTGATCTGCAGTGTATATGACCAGATTCTTCAAAGTTATACTGATTTAAGCTAATTATGCCCATGCACCTGTCTTTTGTTCAGAGTGTGGTAAGAGGCATTTCTAATTCAATATGAAAGGCCAGCACATAGTCACTTAATGATTTGAATTCACTGTGATCTTTCATATGCAACTACATGTACGTACATGTACGGTACTAACCTTACATACCTAGTGTGGACTTTTGAACAAAAGATGTCCACATGATGGGAGAAGGGAAAACATTCTGTGGACTTACACATGTCCACAGGACATTTCCCCTTCTCTGAAAAAGAAGTTTAGAGGTATTTGGGGGTTTGGGTCATCTGTCGTGAATGGAAAAAGAAGAGTCAAGAAAAAAAAAATCCTGCTGAAAATAAATCACGCTCCAAGTTCAAGAAAAATGAGTATTTTCACCGAGTTTTCTTTACACGAAAACAAAAGAATGTCCAAACTAGGTATGTAACATAAGTGTGGGTGTATTTGCATATGTACAGTATGTCCTAGGTATGGACAAATTTCCAGGCATTGAGAATGAAGGGATACTACATACATGTACATGTACAAAGTGTGCATAAAGTATGGAGGAAACCACAAAAATTCCCCAAAGCTTAAAGTGAACAATTTCATAACACCTCACCTGATAATACTCCACTCCATGAAAAGATGAAGGCACTAGGATAATAACAAGAAGCACGGCAATGATCGCTATGACAACAACGGCTTTGACGGTATTCTCTGAGCCCATTCTTCAACTTCTGTCAAGGCTATAAACCAGAAACCAACTCCTGCAATAATTCACACAAAAAAGCATGGATTTCAGGTGTACATAACATTTTGAGGACAAGTAAAAAAAATAAACATGTTTTGTGAAAAAGGAGAGCTAGGGCCATTTATTGATATTTTTTGTTTCAAGATGCCTTCAATTTTTTTTATATTCCAACTTCTGTAGCAGTGTTAATCAACTAGTTGCACGGATTCAAAAGAAATTAAGAACAGCCACTTTATAAGGTGTGTGTGCAATATGCAGCCATGACTTTAACATTTAGATGTGGTCATGGGGGCCACACAATTCATGAATGTGCAAAAGTGTCCAATAGAGAGTAAAATTAAACCTTCCAACTCACACATAGGGGTATTTCTTTTTAGATGAATTAGTTGATTTTTTTCTTTATTTTGCGGGTTTTTTTTCTGGGGCAAATTTTCTTTGGGCAGAGTTTTATGGACATCATTAATTTGCAACTAGCATGTGATAACATATCCTAAAGAGTCAAATTTCACAGGAAAAAATGGTAGCATTTACTTTAAAAAATTTCAGTCTCATAGATTTTTGCACTTGGCCTAATGCTAAATGGTGAAATTAGGGACCTGACAACGATGCCATCACAGTCGTTAGTTCCCACTGCTTGTTTACTAACCCGTGCATAGTCCACATCCATGATTTCGAGTTAGATACAGAAATAGTGAGGAGGGGCCTAGTGCACAAACTTCCGGGTAACATTCATTAGCACCAGGTAACGTCTTGCTCTATACATCACTCTACCAGGATCCCATCCCCGCTCCCAAATGCTATCATTGCACCCAAAATTAACAATCCCTTGACAAATAGTTCATCAAAAGAATCGCAGTACATTCATAAAAAATAATAATAATAATCAGTACCTGAAATAAGCACCCACTCACCAGTTACAAAAACGACGCAGTTTTACACTCGATTTGAGGGTTCTTCAGTCATGACTTTCTTCATCCAAATCGGCATGATATAATGAGCGCAGTATATTATCTGTACCACGAGAGGGCGCTGTTTAGTTAATTGACAGAGAAAAATCCGGACTGGACTCGTAATCATGGAGAGTTAAGCGCTAGATTGGAATGCTAGTGAACACACGAAGAGTTGCTGTAAAAACCGAAGGAGTCTCAAAGCGTGGTATTAGTCAGCAGATAACGTGGCTTCTGATTTTGTCAAAATTTCGTTGTCAACAAACGTCGGGCTATCTCATTCGATCATGTCGACTCGACCGGTACACTGAATCTACACTGAAGGCCAGGCTTAAGTTGTTTGTTAGACCGTACACGTACGCGCAGACCTACATGTACATGTACGTCCTACATGTACATGTCCATGTATCTCCGAGCCCACCTACCTAGACGTCAGGTGTAATTTAAAACTGCATATCCCATGGGCAGACAGAGCCCTAATATAAAAAACACCAGTCAAAATTCAGAGATGGCAACTGCTTCACCGGGTAAAACCGCATCTAAACAAGGGGCCAAGGAAATGCCTGATAAAGTGGATGAAAATAATGCTAAAATTGTCGCATTTAGTCTTCTTCTTCTTTTGCTTCTTGGCCATGGAGTTCGTTATCTCCTGTATGGTAAGTTTGGTCATGTTCGTTTCAGTGCATATTGTTTGATCCTGTTCAATTGAATAATGTTGGTGACCGTATAGTCGCCAGTTCCCTTATTTTAATAGTAGGCAAAATTAAGTCTGGTGGGATCAGACCTGGCAACTACAGTATACAGTCACAGATGAGAACAGGTCAACTTGTACCTTGGACAATTCATACCTTGGACAACTAGTACCATCAATTCAACGTAACTAGGCCTATACCAACTTGTACCTTTGCCAAGTTGCACCTTGGACAACTCGTACATGTACCTCCAGTAAAGACAACTCATACCTTCGCGTAGTCTCGTACCTTCACAGCAACCAGGGCTTGCTCAAAGCATATTATAATTGTAATTAACTTGAACAATATTTTGATTTCATAGTCAATTGTTATCATAAATTTGCCATTTGGCTACACTGCCTTCCCTACACACTGGTGGGGTGACATTAATGTGAGACGCGTCGACGTCATGCATGTGGACTCGCGGTCAGGCAACTGACATTGGTCCATGTGGCCAACGGTCGTTGCATGCAATTTGGAATCGTCACCTGCAGTGCACCATGATGACGGAGTGATGTAATGATTTCATTTACTTCAAAAGTTTATAAAGTAATGTCAGTTGTAACTTGTCCCCCCCAAAAAAAGAAGTTTAATAAGGAAGGCAACCAGTCCCCCCCCAAAAAAATTTAAAAACAAGACCAGAAATATTTCCAAAAGAAATCAAGACAACAAGTTTTATTAAGTACACCCCCTGAGCAGTTACTAAACAAAGCCATCATTCTCCCACAAAATGAAAAAAGTCTACACCTGAAGAACCTGACAAGACCAGAAATATTCTCCTTTCACTTTTGAATAATCAAACCCATTCAAACTAATTGTGCACAAATATTATACCCAGAGAGACGGCAATCACCTTTCTGTCTAGTGAGTGCCGTTCAACTCACTAAACCATACCTGTACTCATTCTGATTCATGTTTTGAATCAAGCAGTTGATGAGTCCCCGAAGGGAGGAAAATGCATTCCCGCTATTATCCCTGGTAATACCTACATGTACATGTAATTACCACAAGTTTAATTCTTATTATTTCTACCCTCCCGAGGCTCCAGTACATTCTCCATGTACAGAAATACTGTAAATCACACAGTGACTCACCCTCGAATAGACGTGTGTTTTTATTCCAAAGCACCCAAAGTTTATTCGTTTAAAATCAATCTACATGTATAAGAGAGAGCATCTCTGAATGGGATAGAGCCATCACTTCTTATCCAGTCAACATTTTCCGTTGCAGTTGTGCAACATCTGTCACGTAAACCAATGGCACAAACGCCCACATGAGGCACTGTGCAGAAAATCTTGGCGCTCGAGACCTCTCCAGGAGATTTATGAAGATTTTTCCTTGATATTTTTGTCAAATCTGATCTTAAACATGCTGAAAAGGAAGAGCAAGAAAGTTACAACTGAATTGATAACATTAAGGTATGAGTGGTCTTAACTCAAGATACGAGTTGCCCAAGGTACAAGTTGTCTCATGTATGAGTTGCCCATGGTACGAGTCATCCAAGGTACAGTATGAGTCATCCAAGGTACAAGTCGCCCAAGGTACCAGTTGACTCAAAAGCATCACAGACATTAGGCCTAATATTAGGCCCTGCTGTCTGCCCAGCCTACTGGTACAGTGTAGGTGTAGGTCTGGGCTCGGAAAACTCAACCGTTTGCCAACTTGACTTAGGACAACTCAACCTTTGAGTCAACTCAATGGGGCAACTCAAACTTTTGAGCCATCTCAGTAGGACATCTTGACTGCGTATCAAATGGAAAGACAAGTCGTCCGCTGAGACAAGACAACTTGTGTGGGGTCATGAGCCTCATCGCAAATACTGCATGAGTGATTTTGTGCAATGGTATAAAGGCATTGTGGGAAGGAAAAAGGGGCATTTTTGGTCCTTTTGCCTTCCCACAATGCTTTCTACCATTGTGCAAAATCACCCATGCAGTTTTTGTGACGTACAAATGTACATGTGGTACGGCCGAACTACTGTAAGGCGGGGCAGAGATTATTTTGTCTCAGGCCACGTTTGGCCTCTGAGACAATGGAGTCACACCATGTGTTCGGGTCTTGTTTTGCCTTGGCTTTGTACATGTATATCCCTGCCAGACAACAACTCTTGGCACGGTTGGAGCTTCAACGGGCAGCTCGTTTCTGCTCAATGATTTCAAGGGTGCTGTCAGTAAGCCAGGGGCAATGCTGGAAATGACAGGCAGGCACAACCTTCTCAGTGGCACCAAGAACAGTATCAAGGAAAGCAGCCCAGGAGTCTTCAACAGAGTCGGGCAGGTCGCCAAGAGCATCAAAGCAGTTATGAACCTCAATAGAGTCGTTGGTTGCCACCAAGGAGTCTGTTAGAAGGAGATTGTGGTCTGGGCGGCATTTACATGTAGGCAGAGATTTCTTTGTGAAAGGATTGATACGAACCTGTGTGGCAAGAAGTCGGTGATCGGAGTTTGCAGGGGCTGCGATAAACCTGGTAAGACTTCAGGCAGCTCCGATAGTTGACCAATATGTGGTCAAGCTCTTTGGCTGTGTGACCATCATTCGATATCCAGGTAAGTCTGTAGATGTTCTTCCACTTGAAATATGAGCCTGAGATGGCTAGGCGGAGAGCAAGACAGAAGGAAATCATGCAAATGGAGTTATCATTTACTGTACATGTACCATGGCCGTAGTTTCCAACAACTTCTTCAAAGCCAGACCTGTCAGAGCCTGAAACCACATTAAAGTCACCGAGTACAAACAACTTGTCATGGGGAGGAACAGAGGAGACGCATTAGGAAAGTTGACCTTTAAAGGAATCCTTGTCTGAGTCGCAGGCAACCTCAGTGGGAGCATACACAAAG